TATTAGCAAATAACTTCAGGTAATCAGTATTAGGTATTAAACATTGAACAAAAAATCTTATAGCTGGTCTGATACTTTAATCTTAATACATGACAAGGGGAGGAGTAATGAGTAAGTTGGATTTTGAAAGAATCCATGTGAAATAAATATGAATTTAATGAAGGCTCCCATCTAACAAAAAAAATTGCCCATATGGAGAAAACATGGATACACATTGCCTTTTGTGAGTATGAGATTATATATAGTGAGTCAGATATTTTGAGTCACTATCAGTGGGTCTTGTAACTTGATATGGCTGTTGTGGATGCTTCATCTTCATGTAGTGTGTCTTGGATAGGAATGGCCTAGTGGAGCCAATTCCTCTTCAGGCATGATCACAGTTGAATTCCTCTTAAGTGAATCTCAGTCTTTGTAGATCATCTTGACTCCTTCCACCTTACTTGATGCCCCCATTATGGAAGTCTTATGCTGCAGTGTTATCATTGCCATGTGACGATTCTGGTTTACTAGTGGCAGGAGACACTATACTTTTTTTGAGTGCAATTACTTGAATGTTGTCATAGTTTGACAGCACAAGTAAACAAAGGATTATGATAATGTATAAATAGGAACCCATTAACTTTGAGATTTATTTAAAGTTTCAGTTTAGATTTTATTTAAGACTTCATTCATAGCAAACTAAACTCTCAATGTCCTATAAGATGCAATGCTTTTCAGTAAACTAAAATTGAAAGATAAGCATATTACGTTGTCGTATCCTGTTGGCACTCCTACGTTTTTTTTTAAAAACAACTGGAAGAAAAAAGCTTAACCAGAAATTGTTTCAAAACTGAATAAAAAGGACTCAAAGCAACAAAAAAAAAAAAAAAAAATCCCCTTCCACTGCCCATGTCAGGTAAGATTATCATCTTTCAGTTGCGTCTTTGTCTTTGGTGAGTTATGGCTCTCTCTGCAGACACACAACCAGGGGTAACAGAGGTGCTTGTTCCTAGGGAACAGCCTGCAGCTGCACCCCTCTCACTGCACTAGAGAGGAGCAATCAGTAGTCCTACCAATGCCAGTGCAACTGACAGTTGTGGGAGCTGGGCAATTTTTGTCCTTGGCCTGAGTGTATGCACTCAGGTTCCTCACATTAAATCCTTGTGTCACATATTGTCTCGGTGGGGAGACTAGGGTAAATACTACCACCTTCCACAGACCAGATAATTAGGATCAAAGTGTAGTATCTTTCCAGCAGCTGACAGCCAGTCCGCTGCTCCATGCATCTCCAGTAGGCATCCAGCTCCCACCGCTCTAGACGTCCTTGCCAACAGCAACGATATACAGTAAACTGTTCTTTTCAGGACAACAGACTTCAGTGACTACCAAAACTGTCCTCAAGACAACACTCTTCTCACCATTTACATGAGCGTGCAGAGAGATTTTTTGCCTACTGCACTGTAACCTTATTTTTGTTGAGGTATTTTCTTTAACAAAAAATAAACTTGGTAATATTTTTTTACTCAAGTCTTCATTTTGTTTGTTGTCTTCCATCATTCAATATCTGTTTGCAGACCGCTATACTACTCGCAAGAAACTACATATTAAATAAAAAAATACCCTCATAGGCAATGGAACAAATTTGTTGACCAAAAGTGTTATCTTATTTGTATACTGCTCATAGTTCTGGTTAATAATACTGTAAGGAAACACTGGAACAAAAGGTTGAATGAAGAACAGGTTTAATTATAATACACTAACAGAGAATACCATAGTTCAGTGCGGCAGTGCATACGATTCAAATGCTATGCCTTGTGACCCACTTTGCAACAACTGTTCCTATGAGCAGATGTTTTACTCATAGCTAAAGGATGAGTCCATGTTCACAATTAGTATAGACAAGTTGGGTCATCTTTCTACACAACAAAAGAAATTAATATTTTTTTTAAAAAACTCTGTGGAATTACCATCTATATTAAATATAGATGTAATTTATTAATGTTATCATCTAATCCTCATTCCTTGAGTCTAGACTATAGCAAGTATGTATTTGGTTGTCTTACTACTGATAAAATTTATTCCCTATACGAATCGTGTAATATTAAAATACCACATTTAAAAAAAAAAAAGATGGTTTTATTAAAATTGACTGATGCAATGTAATTAACACAGATAGCTCTACCTACTTCCTTGATATTAATTTCTACTAGTTTATTGATGCCATCAGAAATTGGTTCTGCATATTCCTGTTTATATTCAATACTTCCAGAATATTAAGTAAAATTAAATATAAGAATTTATCACCTGCCTTGTCCCTATGCTATATAAATGTAACTAACTATATATATATATATATATATATATATATATATATATATATATATATATATATATATAATAAGTTTAGTTACTGGACTTGGGAAATGTATTTTCCTGAAAAATTGTTTTATTTTATAAATTTCAACCAAAAGTGGCACTGTTTGCTTGGTCAGTGAAGCTGAGTGTTTCTTTATATATAAATGGTCAATATTGCTATTAATACAATATTTCTTGTATAAATATGCTGTGGCATTTTTACTATGTCACCAGAAAAGTTCATTACAAATTGTTAATAAATATGCAATAGGCTCCTCTGGTGATGTAGTAAACTCATCTGTAGGAGTGTGAAGAAGCTTTAAGTTCTAAAACTGTTTATTTTTTCATTCAGCTTTTAATTTCATTGTAATAACATGGGTGAATTTGATTATGAAATATAAATCAAATAATAAATACTCCTAAAACTGAAATTCACCCAGCTTTTAGTTAATACTCTCCATAAAACTTACTAAGTTATGAGTGAAGAAAGATATGTTGCAGACTTCAACACTTTTCATGAGATTTTGCATGCACCTGGTACATTTGACCCACAAACAATTTTTGGTAGATTTGAATCCAAAGGAAAAATCAAATTTATAGAATTAAGACATGAAATTTAAACAAAGAAATTTTAACAAATATATTGGCTGGACATTTTACAAAAGGAAATATGAGAAATTAAATTAAATGTGAAGAGTTCAAAAGCAACCGTCAGTGTCTGTAGTTGAGGTATTTACATTATATATATATATATATATAATTTTTTTTCATAAGTGCATGTTTATTTAAATGATACTGGGTATTGTTTATACTAGGTACTGTGAGAATTTGAGCTAAAAAAAAAAATGTACAACTTCTTTTTAGTAAAATTTAAACACAGTATGGTACATCCCATCTGTTAACAAGTTTATAGATCAGACAATAGCACTTACACTCCCATCTCTGCAACACCCACTTTTACAAAAGAAAAAAAACTGCTTTAAACTTAAATACAAAAGCCAAAACTACTAAAATAGAGAAACTGGTTTTTGTTTATGATTAAAAAAAAAAAAAAAAAATAATTTTTAACTTTCTATAACCAATAACTTAGGGATATATTTTTTTTATTCTATAAAGCAAATTTCTTTAGTAGAATATTTTTTTTCATATTAATAGGAATATAAGCAATTTTTCTTTAAATAATAAAATATTTTTTATGCATTACATTTATTTACTTTAACTAGTTAGCTTTCTGTATCTATCTAATTATTTATATATATATTATTTTATTTTTTTGTACTATTTGATGTCATTAAATATTTAACTGCCTCAAATCAGGTCTTCACTAGATTTTCTTAAAATAATTCAAACAAGAAAAGGCTGCTATTATAGAAAAAACAAACTGGGGAAAGTTGAAAACATTAACTTGATATATGATTTATTGGTTGTCTTCACATTGCTTTCTTATAGTTACCAATGTCATGAAATATTTTTTGATTATTTCCTGTTTGATCTTCCATACAAATAATTGAACAGTTGCAAAATGAAAATTCTTTTTAAAAATATTTCTGAAAAATAACATTTAAAATTTTTCAGTCACTTTATTTAATAAAGATTTCTTTTTTATTTAATAAAAAGATTTCTTTTTGTCATCAGCAACCAAAAGAATTTCAAAATTGCATTGAAAAATAAGTGAATTTTTAAAAAATAAATATTCATTCTAGATTATTGTCCTTCCTGTTAAATCTGAAAGAAAATCTTATACAAGCAGCCAACTCTCAACAAAAATTACTTTTTCAGTTTTATTGAATTATTTTTGTAAGGTTTCTGGACAAATATCCAAAGTGTTAACATTTGATGTCAAAAAAATTTTTTTACTGAAATATCTTCAGTGATTTTTTTTTTTTAAACATTCATTATATTTTAAATTAGTAGCAGTAACTGACCCACTGCCAATATTTCTACAATGTTTACTAATAAAATAACCTAGTCAGTATACAATTCATTCATTAATGAAAATTCAATTTATATCTGATAATTCCCTGATATTTGGTAAATTTTTAAAGGAGCAGCATTTTTTTTTTTTTTTTTTTTTATGAAAAAACACTTTTTGGCAGTATCTAGTTACCCAGATTTTATTCTACAAGGCCATTTTTGTAAGCAATTCCCTCATGCATACATGGCATAGAAGACAAAAATTGTACAGCTTCCTTGGTACTTCACATTAGGACACCACAGACATTGTTGAATAGCTCTGAGACGTTTCTTAAGTGTAGTGAAGATGTACTGTCTGGTGGAAGCAACCCACAGGAGTTGAGCTCTTAGTTACTCCCACTCACCACCATCATGTGACATTTCATGTTGGGGATGTATTTATGAAGACTTTGAGAAAAGTAAACAAATATTTAATCACTGATTACCTGAAATAATGTCAGCAATCAGGATTCATTTATATTTCTCATTATTTATTTTATTATATGTATTACTGTAATGTTTTTAAAAACTTTTTTTTTAAGATTCCCTAAAATTCCCTTGATGAAAAATATATTTTCCTTTCATTGTTAACAGATAATCTCATACCAATTTGTGATACTGATAAGAACTATTTTTCATGTTTGCTATCTTCAGCATCTATAATAAAAATTGTAAGGTAAAAATAAATTTAAATCCTTTTTCTTTCATTTCAGTTGTTTTAACATTTGTGAATTGTAAAGATGTTAAATGGGCAACACGTGTACAAGATATATTCACCTATGCCAAGGTGTTGGCTCTTCTTCTCATCATTATTACTGGATTTGTACAGCTTGGTAAAGGTAAGTTATTCCTCATCCTTATAAGAATTTTTATTAATTTCTTTAAAATATTTATCTGCCTATCTTCTTTCTGTTTATAAGAATTGAATTTTCTTACTCTTGATTTGCTTTATTCATTTGGTATTGGTAAATACAACCCATAATCAATTCATACTTCTGGCCTGCCAACTATTTGGATAATTATTTTTTTCCTGTAATATTACTCTGCATAAAATTTGAGAAATGCCTTTTTGTTCATGAACTAAAATTTATTTTCAATAATTGATATGTACTAAAAAAAAAAAAAAAGGACTTTTTATTTTCTAAAATGTTAGAAATAAAATGGTTACTGATTATATTCAATGAAAAAAAAAGACAGTATATATAAACAATATTAAACTTTAAAATCTTTTAGCTGATAATTTCAGCCTTTGGCACAAAATATATACCTGAGAAAACGTTAGCAAAGATGAAGCATGCTAAATCTTCATATAGCTTGGTTTTAACTGATCAACATTTACAATGAATTTTGATGATAGGAAACAAATTTTGAATCAGTTTAACTTATTAAATTTATATATAAAAAAAAAACATTTTCATATTTAACATTACTACCAAATTAATTTAATTTATTCATGTTAGAAAATATTTTTAAGCCTTTATTTTAACTATATAGTTAAAAATAAAGTATTATCTTTGTCCATATTTTTAATTTGTGTTTGTTTTTGCCCTAAAGTCTCCAAAACGCTGATAAATTATACTTATTTCTAATATAGTTTACTGACTCTTGCATTAGGGCAGTGCTATCCAAATTTATGCAGTTCTTAATTTCTGCAGTTTATGAAGACTATTTCTTTACTTTTTTCTGACTTTTTTTTGTTTCCTTTTTTACACTGTGTCTTTTCTTTTACTTTTGACATTTTTTTTTATTTGTTTGACTAGCTTTACAACTAAAATGTAATTTTCATATTTTTGGTAAAACAAATTATAGACAAAAAAGTGATATGTGAAATAAGCAACAATACAATATGAAGTTTTCATTAGTTAATGAAATACTTAGCCTTGAATTAATGCAGCACTGTCTTTATTTTGGGGCTATTGTTGCTGTTTTTACAGTCTTGTAAATGTTCATCAATTCAGTCAAGTATGTTAATTAATATTTTAAAAAAATTTGTCTGCCTTGATTACTAGTCACCTATTGTCATTTATAGTAGGCCTTTGTTACAGGTTGGACAAAATTGCTTTGTAAGCTGTGTTCCCAATTTAGTCATACTATTTTTCTCATGTCTAGTGCCGCTATTTCATTTTTTTTTTTTTTTTTTTTTTTTTTTTTTTTCCATCAGACTAAAATTTTTACATTTTATTTTACTTTTTTAAATATTAGTTAGGTGCCTTTTATTTTTTTGTGGTGCATTCTTTTCAGTAAATTGAAAATTTTGTTTATTTTATTTGTATTTCTTGTTTTTAAATTTTCTATTATATGTAATTAATAGAATTTCCTATGGATATTTTGAAGTACATTATTTCAGGTACTGATCCAGAGTGGGTATAGGGAGTTTAGTTTCATTCTTGTTTTGGCAAAGCACAATCAATTATAATAATTTTTTTGTTAGTTATTATATAATTTAAATCCCAAGTAATTATAAATTAACCATACAAAAAACAAAATTCAGTCAAGATATTGATAATCAACCATCTTCTATAAATGTTTCCATCTGAACCCCACACTTGCTCAAAGGCTTAAGGCCACATCAGGTTGAAACACGGGTTCCTGTACAATCACCAAAGTTAAGCTACATCAAGACTAGTCAATACCTAGATGAGTAGAGGCTTAGGAAGACCAGGGGCTGTAAACTTAGATGTGCAGGTGGGATAATGAAAAATAGTTTGGAATTATTGAGCCAAGTTCCAGTTCCATTTGAGTTTGTTATATTCACTTCTGTGCAAATACCATTGAGAAGGGCATGAATCCACTGCTTCTCCCCACCCCATTTCTATCACTAAAAAACTTATCACCTTCCCCCCAAAAAATAAAATAAAAATTGCATACAAAATATTTAGCATTAAATAACCCATAGAGGTTTATATGCTGCTAAACAACCAACCATGCTTGCTCAAAATCCTGGATCTGGTCTTTAGTATGCTGCTGTTTTAGCATTTATAAAAAAATTTTTTTTTTTTTAGTTTTCCAGGAAAGCAAAGGTATTTTCTATCCCATCCTACCTTTTTAACTTTTTTTTTTTTTTTTCTTTTTTCTTTCCCCAGAAAATTTTATATCAGAATTTTTATTAGTTTTAACCAGTGAAAATTTCAGTTTTCCTATTTCTAATATTCTGATGCATATTAAAAGTTTTAAGTTAATGATTAAGCTCATGGCGAGTTCTACAACAATAAAATATCTGTAAAAAAAAATCCCCCTTTTGAGTTTAACAACTTTAACAAAATATTGAAATAACAATCATAAATATGAATGTTGGTCATTTTAAGAAGTGGGTACAAATGAAAAGTTGAAATTGACAACTTTTCCATTTCATTGAAACGGCCATTAAACACTTTTCTGTCATTCCTCACTGGAATTAAGTATTGTCTTTTTCACTCAATCAAAAGCGACTTGTTCATTATATATGAGGTATTATGTATACATAAATGCATACATTTCTTTCTTTCTCCCTGAAACCAAGTAGTGTCTTTCCCATCTTTCTATGCAATCAAAATGGAATAGCCTATTATTCATGAGATATTGGCAAAGCATAATGGTCATGCAAACTTATGAAGGGAGGGACAAGCACAATTATAATAGAATATTCCACATTTACCTGCCTCTTTCACACTTTCATCTTCTGCTTCCTCTCATATATGAATGAGAATAAATTAAGACTAAACGTCTTAATTTACAGAAAACTGACCATATTTCATTGCAGAAAGATTCTAGATAAATGTAATAGTGATTTCCGTTTTTATTCATTAGATATTTAGAAACTCTCATATAAAATTGAAAAATTTTAAATACTAGTAATCTTTTGCCATTTATATATTTTAACTTCAGATTCACTCTCTTATGCATGCGAGGTTTCATGCTTTTACTTTCAACTTTTTAATACTCCCATTTATTTGTTCTTTTGAATACTAAACATTTTTCCTCTACCCTAACCCTTCTACTTAATTGTATTCTATATTTTTCTTCTGTCTCTGCTTAACATATGTCTGAGCTCAGATTAGTTATGCCCACAGGCTCTGATTTTGTGTATTTTTCATTCCACAATCTGTCAGTCTTTATTTTCAGTCATACTTTACATACACACAAAGTAATCTCTCATTATTTCCATTTGATGCAAGATAAAAATTCTGGTGATTCCTTAAAACTAGAGAAATTAATAAATGAAGCAATCTGAAGAAACTTTTACATAACACACCATTCCTTTACAGAAAAGCAAGGTTGATAAGTTTGAAAACTGAATGCTTCATTTAAGCAAGGTTGGGGTTAAGTGTCAAGTAGATAGTGGAAAAGTTAGCTAGAGCATGAAAAATATTTAAATCAAGCCATGCCCTTTACTTCTCATTAGCAATACCTAAAATAGAAGTCCTTCATTAAAACAGATGCCAATCTAAGAAATGTACTGGATTAACTTTCAGAATAAATTTGTGCTTTATATTTGTCCTATTATGTCAGTCTCTGTATATTAATATATTTATACTTTAGTATCTATTGTCCCACATAAGGTGTCATTGAGCACTTCAATATGGTGTAATGATTAGCAAATTTGTCTTGCTAGATTAAGACTGAATAGTGAGTTTGATCCTCACTGGGTTCCCCATACTTTTGGCATTGTACCACCTTTAAGCTATGCTTAGAAAATCACCATAAGGTTTGTTACAAACCAAAGAAATAAAAAAAAAATATTAAAGCTTCACCCACTTTAAAAGATAAAAGGACTAATAAAATTCTTGTCAGCAAACCTCCTTTTTTTTTTTTTTTTTTTTTTTTTTTTTTAACTTGTCTAATCCTATCACTCTTTTATTTTTCCCTAGCTTTCTTACTTCCCCTTTACCTCTCCCCCTTTTGTGAAAAAAAAAATAGTATGCGTAAAATTGGATAAAATCTGACAGAATGGAAACTAATTATACTGAATAATATATATATATATATATATATATATATATATATATATATATATATATATATATATTTATAGCACTTTTCAGAGTGCACAGATACTAAACTCTATTCTTAGGCAGAAGTGTTAGGGAGCAAAACTTTAATCCAAAGCAAAATATAGATACTCTGAGCAGGAGTACCAATCCATACATGATTCCATCATTTTTTTGTAGGCACTACTCTAGGTTTATATAAAAATAATTATAATAAATTATTTTTAAAATAAATTACTTCAGTTCTTGTATCATTAATTTTTATTTTTTTCATTGTTCCTGCTATTATGAAGTTTTTATTTTTTTTTTTTTTAATGTGAGGAAAGACACACTTTTCATAGGAAACAAATAGTCGATACTTGAAATACATGAAATTGTTGAAATAGTCAATGCTCTTTTTTAATGATTAAGAATAAAAAAAAATGCAACATAATTTACTTTTCTGTAAGTGAAAGTCCTAACTTTATTAAATGTAAAATGGAGAGGTTAAAAAAAAATGATGGGAGGGAATGATACTTCAAATGTTTATTAGTTGTGTGTGTTTTCTTGCCAGATCCACATCAACATATGTGTATTTAGTTGGTCAAATATGTACTTAAGTAATTTGTGATGTGCATTTATTTTGTCTTACAGGATATGAAAGAAGTTTCCCTTGATCATCCATGACTTTCTTTGGTTAAGCTATATTGCTAAATGTATTACACTCTGAGAAATTCTAAAATCAAATTTACTCTATGCTGATATCTTCATGGCATTTCTTGGGAAAATAGTGGATAGTAAGAAAGATAATCTAAAAAGCTTATAAAGACTACCACTATAATCTTCATAAACAGATTAATCACACAGCAGTACTTTTTATTAGATATCTTGCA